CATCTTCTTTAAAGGACCCCTCCTAGCGGGAATCTGCCCGGAACATCTTCTTTTTTTACTTCTTCTTCAAAATCTAAAACCCCTCTTCGCGGGAAAATGACACATCTTCGAGGAAATCTGCCCTCAACATCTTCTTCACCCCAAAATTATGCAAATTGAGCTGGATCTCCTTTTGCTTATCTACTTATAAAAGCATGCGCAATAAGAGTTCATACTGACTCAGGAACAATAACGACTGGAGAGGTAGTCCCTATTCCAGAATTTTGGGAACATCTACGTCGGAACCAACTATGGGGATGGTATCCGAAAAGACGGTTCCACGGTTTCAATTCCACAATCCATTTGGGAACTTGTATAGAGGGACAAAGTAAATGAGAGAAAAAGTTTGATGTCCTGGAAAGATGGTATACGGACGGTTCCAAAATGGCTAGAGGGATGGATGCAGGTATATATATATGGACTCAGACCGAGACATAGAATGTAAGCTGCAATCTGAGGAGCTTTCCGATTGTATTTCAAGCAGACATTTTCGCGATAATGACGTGTTTAGCAGAGAATGTACGTAGAGGTTTACAACTGTACTGGCTACCACTGATACCAGGACACCAAAGGCAGTGACTGAAATGAGAAGCGAATGAATTTGCTAGGAAGGGATCCGAAACAGAATTTATTTCTGGATCCCGAGGGGCTAAGAGAAGTGTCGGCAAGGAAGCTTAAAAAGGTCTAAACTGCTTGCTGAATAGGATTGAATAGTGCGATGCAATAGCCTGATAAGACCGCGGTGTTATGTGACTTGAATAGAACCAATGGTACAAATAGAAGAAGAGATAGATTTTAAGTACATCTGTGACTTTTATACCTTTATTATACAGGGTGTTAATGAACTTATGTAAATAATTTAACGGACGAAAAAGGAGCAAAAACTGAGTTAACTGATGTCACAAACTTGTATCAGAAGTTTAAGGTCATAGAGAAAATAGCTAATTAAAAATGTTCTTAACACTATTTTGGAACTGCTGAAATACATGTATTTTATCGCGGCGTCTACTTACAAAAAATTCCGGACTGTATTCGAAAGTCAGTTCGTAATACATTGTTGTAGTGATTGCTGTGCTGTTTTTCGAGAGTACCTACATTTAATAATCGCATTTCCAAGTTTTCTTTTGAAAATGGCGCATTTATTTAGCAATCGCGGATATTATAATATGATTCGAGAGGATGTGGCAATGTTGCAACGCGTGCGAGCGAATCGGATACGTCGCGCTGAAGCTTGTGTGCAAGCAAATGGTGGGTACACCCATCGAACATCTTCTATGAAAATCCGCAGTAAGAAAAATTTTAAAATTACATTTTACTCAACATTAATCCGTGTATTTACTTCATTTTGACATAACGGACATGTGGCGAATATATTTGACATAAGTTCATTAACACCCTGTATTAGTATCAGCCTGCTTTAATTCTGTCATATACGTCGTATTAACTGTTGTGCGTGATATCCTGATTATGAATAATTTTGAACAAACAAATTACAAGAATGGAGTTCGCTTATTTGAATGAATATTCCTCGGAATATTCTATTCTATTGTATATATTTTCTCAGTAACCCAAGACAATTTTTGAACAAATTTTCTGCAAAATATACAATCAGTAAAAATCTTCGTAGAGAATCTATGATATTTTAATACTTTACAAATTATATTGATACGAATCTATAACTTACTTCGTCCCTTAATAACTTTTTCATAACATGTAGTTTTCCTGTTTATATTAGATCCACAAAGAAGAGTTTTCTGAAGTGATTTTAACTTAAAGTTGTGTACAGTGCACTTAGAATTGGCAGAAAATTGAATATCAGTTTATATCGAAGTCATAAAGTTTTGTATCAGTCAACGATATAATTGAAGTTTTGAAAGGTAGCATTATTGATGTTTACAGTTCTGTGTTGGTAATTTTCCCTGAGAGAAGGTAAATAATAATGTAATATCTAAGACTTTTATTGGTTTCCTACTTTTTCATCATTCCATAAAAGTACATTTCTGCTATAACCTGGTTCGAAAAAGTATAATACAGATTTTTAAAAGGCATATTTTTATTCTTCGAGAAATTAAAGTTGAAGTTAGAAATTTCGTATGTGAACAGGTCATTGTGAATTGATAAAAAGATATACAAAAAAGTATACAATTTAAGTAGTATTTGGAATATTGCTGATGCAGTTCTCATTTATAGTCTTGATAAAAGTTAAGCTACCTATCTAGAAATGACTTAAACATATAAAAATATTATTCTTAATACCATAAGCTGCGAATAATATTTTGATACTTTCCTCATTTCCATAGATAGATTAATGGTATTATCCACTTTATTTCAGATTCTGTCTTGATTTCGTTCAGTACAGGCCCCCCCCTGGAAAGTTGATTACCACATACACTATAACTTCTGAGGAGCATCCTTTTGACGAGTCATCCACATTTTTCCTCTACGACTTTTCTCGATTCTTCCGCTTTTCCACTCGGAAAAGTCCGAAAACATGGCAATTTCCCGGGGTCTTGAAAACTTAAGACCACATCTTTTATTATTAGCTTAAGTAACTGGAAATTTTGTTGGAAATGCCGATTTAAATTTGTCCGACAGAAATTCCTCCGACATTGACGTGTCTACCGGACGAAACATGCCAAAATAACAGGTTATTGAAAATCAATTACCACATAGGTAATTTTTAGTAAAATTGTAAATAATTAATTCAGTCAAAAAGTATCGTTGTCCGACAAATTTCAAGCCGCGTTTTTTCATTCCGACAGCTGGAAATCGGAATTTTCACGGGTTATGAAAAATCGATTACCACATGTTGGACAAAATTAACACACAAAAAAAAAGTGTTTTTTATAAGCAAAAATTGTAATGTCCGACAAAAATATATCCGCAAATCGTCAGTCCGACAAAAAAAGGTGAAAAAAGTTTCGTAAAAAATGTGCACATGTATTTATAATTTCTAATAAAGTATTTTCATGTATTAAGCAAAATTCCATATAAATATACAATACAGGGTGTTTCAGAAAGACCTTCCGTAAATAAGGGGGGTGAGGACGACAAAAAATAAGAATTTTTTGTCATATGAACTACATGTCTATCTCCTCTTCTCAAAGCTCAAGCTTACTTTGAGAAAAGTCACTTATTTTATAATGTAAAATTGTAAGTTTAATTAAAAGCCTTTTTTCTCGAAGATCGTCCACATTAGGAAGTTCTAACAAGAGTACATTATTTTTAGGAAATAAAATTGTACAATAGAAATTAGAGTCCGACTGGTAAAAAACCTAACCTTAAAAAAAATATAACTCAAATTGTAATAAGAATGTAGCATAACTAGCGCTTTCTATGAAATATACAAAAATTAATTAGACTAGCGTATTTGGCACCCTTAAAAACCTCGGACTACCAAATTTCATAAAAATATTTCGCACTATTTGGAAATTTTCATAAAAATGTTATTTAAAAAATTTTATTTTGTCTCTCTGTATCTCGAAAACAAGAGGAGATAGACATAGAGTTCATAAAACAAACAATTCTCATTTTTTATCATACTAGCACCCCCTTTTTATTTACGGGAGGTCTTTCTGAAACACCCTGTATATTGTATATATTTTTCGTTTTATTCTTGTAATTGTAAATCTCTATATGCTCAATTTAGCCAAATAAATATCGAGAAAAGAATTAAACGATTTCAAAAAAGTATGTATGGTGAAAAAAATGATGCACAAAAGTTTGGGATTTTCTTTTAGAAAAGTAGGAAAATTTTTGTAAAGAAAAATAACAAACGCGAATGAAACTTGAAAGAGAAAAAAGGAATTTTATATCAAGCATAATATTAATTTATTTAGAAATAATGTATTATGCACTAAGATCGTATTAATCGCCTCAAAAATAACTTCATTTGTTTATCTTTTAAATTTTTAAGCATAAAATAAGCAATATTATAATTATTTATTTGAAACAAATAATAATTTACATAATAATAATTAATAACCATTTATAAATATGAAATTTTTGGAGTGAAAAAATTAAATTTCATCACGATTATTGATTTTTTAATAATTTGCGGAGATTAAATCGTCGGACACTTATATCACTATTTTGTACAGTAAATTTAAAAGTGGGAAAAATGAAAATTAGATATGTGGTAATCGATTTATCATACCCCGTGAAAATTCCGATTTCCAGCTGTCGGACTGAAAAAACGCGGCTTGAAATTTGTCGGACAACAATACTTTTTGACTGAATTANGACTGAATTAATTATTTACAATTAATTTTACTAAAAATTACCTATGTGGTAATTGATTTTCAATACCCTGTTATTTTGGCACGTTTCGACCGGTAGACACGTCAATGTAGGAGGAATTTCTGTCGGACAAATTTAAATCGGCATTTGCAACAAAATTTCCAGTTACTTAAGCTAAAAATAAAAGATGTGGTCATGAGTTTTCAAAACCCCGGAAAATTGCCATGTTTTTGGACTTTTCCGAGTGGAAAAGCGGAGGAATCGAGAAAAGTCGCAGAGGAAAAATGTGATAGACTCGTCAAAACGAAGCTCCTCAGGAGTTATAAAGTATGTGGTAAACAACTTTCCAGAGGGGGCCTGTACTGTGGACTAATAGAAATAATAAAATCACTATGTAAAACTAAATACATTTACCTCTGCTGTTTGTGTAGTAGGTATAAAATATGGTAATTTGTCATTGGTGTTGATCACATTTACAGTCAGCGTGGTGGTTCCCGTTAAACTTGGTGATCCATGGTCGACTGCGATGATTTCGATGTTATACGTGTTCCTCCTGTCAAAATCTAGTTTGGAGGAAACTAGAACCGATCCTGAAGTATTATCTATCCTAAAATCTTCATAAGCTCCTTTTTGAATGAAATATTCAATCTCTGCGTTGACTCCGTTGTCAGCGTCAGTGGCTTCTACTTCACCTACCACAGAACCTGAGACAAAATGAATAAATGCACTTGAAATATAGAATTAATTATAGTCTTACCAACTGGTACGTCTTCTGGTATAGATTTGACGTAGTTTTCTCTGGAAAATATGGGCGCGTTGTTGTTTACATCCAAAACTGTGATATTGACTAAGGCGGTGGCTGTATATTTTGTGTCGCTTGCCTAGAAGATAGAACATAAACAAATTGGAAAAATTAATATTTACTAAATAAATACCATATACGTATGTATACCTCTCCTAGATAGAAAGTGAAGCAAAAATTAGAAAAATATATAACAAATCTAATTGCCATACATTTTAATTGTTATTTTTATTTTAAACTGCTAAACTCGTAGGAATTATCACAGTATTTCCAGCTTTCTGTGTTGCATTTATATTTTATTGGAATGAATGGCCATATTCTGCCTTTTATTCCACGGAAGTTAAAGTTTCGCGTTGGATGTTACATAAAAGTCTATATGGACAATGAATGTAAAACGGCAAATAAAGGTAAAATATAATGGCAGAAGAAATGTGTAATTTTGGAATGAATGGCTTCGTAAAAATAACTCAAATCTTCCCTTTGTACGTTGAGAATGGTGTAAACGTGATTTCTACACATTGTAAGTTGATATACATTTATATTTGTTTCGTTAGGGGGGACTTTCATGTAACTACGTGGATAATAAAAAATAAAATTTTATTTTGTAATGGTGTTGAAAGTCAAAGTGCCAGGTTTAATAAAGATATAAACTCGAGAAGAAATTTATTGTAGTTTGTACTGCTAACAATTAGTTAAAAATAATGTTTCTAATTTTAACAATGATGTCTCAAATGGTAATATCTACTACCTAGTAATTATTAATGATTTATTCTTTGTAGTGATAATGGTATTATCTAAAGCCAACAATGAGTAAATGGGTTGTAAATAGATTAGTACTTGGAAGTGAGTCAAATTTAATGAGATTTCAGGGTATCTCAAAATTGACCAAAGATAAATAAAGAGAAAATTATTAGTTTAATTAATATTAGAAAATGTAGAATTAAAGTAGAAATTGACATGAACTTTTCGACGTAGAGTCGATTGATGATATTATTAATTTTCTAGTGGATCTCGTGGTTGCGACGCTACGAAGCAAACTTATACAGGGTGGTTACTTTTAAGATGTACACCATAGACCACCTAGACTGACTATAGGGTGATATTATAAATTGTTAATAAAATAATGAATAAATGAATAATGAATGATGAATAATGAAACATATTTTTAATAATTATTTACTTTACGCAAAAGTCTCCAATTTATATGAAATTCTTCCAATTCCCGTAATTTTGAGGGAGCTGAAAATTAATGTGATATTATTTTTTGCGATCGAAAAAATCGCAAAAAACTAATTTCAAATTCATGTTCAGCGCCTTGGAAAAGGGGGGTTGGCAAAACTTGATTTTTTGGTAAAATAAATAATTATCAAATTTTTATATTTGCTTCGAATTTTCGAATTTAATTTTTTAATTTTTATAGATCTCCAAAGGATTTTGACATAAAGTAAAGGTAGGTGAAATCTTTTAAAAAACAGGAGTGGATTCCATCAAAATTTCCATATATATGTTCTAATCACTTTGTAGAACATTTTTTAATTTTCAACAAAATCATAGTTCGCAAATTAGTAAAAAATGCAGTTCTCACATTAAATCTACCAGAAATAATAATTAATTATTATACTTTATATGCATAGTGTGTTCAAGTTTGTCCTAGAACACTGCTGCAACATTTGCCTGAACTGTACGATTTGAATGAATTATTTTTGCATGTAGGACTCTCCCAATACTTACTTAGTGAACATTTTAATGCTCACCACATAATTTTATAAAAATTATCTTTACTGATAGTTTTTTATGACATGAACAATCCCAATTTTCAGATTCTTTAACGTCTCCTATCAGCCAACCTACCATGTCGCAGTTATCATATTCTAACGTAAGTAGTACCTCTTCGATGTCAACTTTGAATATCACGGATAATGAAAAGATTATATAAACATTTTAGTGATGATACGCCAAGAAAGCAGAAACTAAAATACGAAGTGAGATGGCATTCCTTCATTTCCAAAAACCAAAAGAAAAGATAACCCGCAGAAAATAAACGTCATTTAAAAAAGAAAAATGACAAATTAAGAAAGAGAAAAAATAATATTTTTTTAAATAACTATAAGAACAGTACACCCAAGCTACAGAAAAATAAAATTGTGTATCATGTATTAAAAAACTTTTCGAATGTGAATATATTTGTATGAACATCAATTTGATAATTTCCCTAACAATTGTAATCATTTAATAGAACTTGTAAGGGCTGTATGTGAAAAGTATATTAATATGAGAATAGATCATGAAGTCAAAATATTTATTTCAGTAAAATCTACGAAAAGAAAAATATTAAATAAACTTACATTACTTAAAGGACAATAAATATATATGAATTATTTTGTAGGTTTATTTAATATAAGCAAGGCATTAAAATATATTATTTTCTGAATTCCAAACTTGAAAAATAAATCTTTGTCATAAGTGTAAAAATATTGCTTAATCCGGACCTGTCCAAAGTATGCACGGTCAGATTACCTCGCGCACTCCACTTCTCCGCAATTTGCATTCACTGATTTAGTGTAATTACAAAAAAAAATTATGAAACCACATCGAGGAAGTTTTTTGCATAATTTAAGAATATTAATTGCATTTTTGTGTTTTTTAAAAAAGTTCCCCCTTTCATTCGGATGAAAAAAGTGAAAAATTAATTTTTTTCAAAAAAATTACATGCTGTTTTTGCTTTATTCAAGAGATTAATAGTAAAAAAAAATTAATAATATAAAACAGTTAGTAATAAGTACAGAATGTACAAAAAAATGTTTAAAAATTATTTTTTTCTATAAACTTTAGATTCAAAAATTCAAATTTTTTCGAGTTCGCATGTAGTCCCTCCATCAGTTCAGCATTTTGGTTAGATCTGGGAATGTCAATTAATGTCTCCGCGACCGACCAGTGCATCTTCAAACACTTAATTGCCTTCTTGCATTTTGTCTTGGTGAGTGAGGTTAACAGTTCATTGAAGCACGCTTCGTTGTAGTGTTGCGACTGGAACCAAGCATTTGCCCATTCATAGCAGATGAAGTCGCATGCTGTACCGAGGATGCGGCGCCACTCTGGCATCAGAAAAAATGCTATAACAGCATATATTGCACGCGAGTTCCATCTTGCCTGGTGTAAGTTTGGGAGTTTCTTCCAGCTGATTCGGGACCATCGTGAAGTTGCTTTGTAATGACGATATGCCTAACATAGTTCATAAAAGAACTTTAAATCATCTCGCCATCCAGGGTTCTCGTCTGAGTTAACATCATCTGTCGCAACTTGTTAGTAACGAGCCTAAAGAGAGACATAATTTTCTCTTAATTTGTCATTGAAGGAATAGTTGAGTTCTGGTTTGCTCGTTGGCTCTTGAATAAGGAAATTCATGACGTGCTTCAGAAGGAGGTCGAGTACATGGTGCTGACAGCCAATATATTGTGGCTTCTGAAAGCCCTTACTCAGGACATCATCCTGTATCAGCTTTACAATCCCGTGCAAACGACCAGTATTTACTGCTGTCGTATCGCAGATTATCATGCGAATATTTCCCCAAGCATCGTATTCATCAATTAGCTGATGTAGTTCCTTGTGAATGGCCGCGGCAGAACCACTCTCACATTTCAGAATACCGAGTTTGATTTCGGTTGTGGTATTTTTCAGCAGAACTACTTGATATTCTTCCCCTTGGACTCTTTTGCCATCAAACTGAAGACAATAGGGATCTTCGCATTGAAGTTTTTCAAAAATTTTGGCTTTCATTTCTTGTCCTTCTGAGATTACTCGTTTCCAGACACCCGACTGACTTGGAACCGGCACATTATGACCCTGTTTAGCAATGGTTGCAAGAACGTTATGTGCTTTATGTGTAGAAATGTTGTTTTCCAGTACCAGTAAACTCGCTGTTGTAGTGCTTGCTCTTTTGTATTTCGGTTTGCATTCAGAAGAAGATGACGTGGAAGAAGAGCTTGGAGACTTGGGTGAAGAATCGGAGGCAGATTCAGAGACAATATCATGTGTGGGTTGCGATTGAGAAGTACTGGTTTGAGCTTGAGATATTGATAGTCGGATTCGTTTTCTTGGGCGGATGGATTCCAAAGGAGCTTGTTTGACCATTGAATAACCAACCTTACCTGCACTCTCAACTTGACTCTGGTAGAACTCTTTATCTTCCGAGCTTTTCCATTCTCCATTCACGTTGATGACATCAAATAACTGAGAAAGTGTTGCAGTGAATTTGTCAGAAGGTTTCTTTTTGTTTTTGTCATTTAGATCAATCAGACGATTGAGTTTCTTTCTGATGAGTGCGCTGGATAAAAATGGAAAGTTAGAGTTTCCCTCCAGAGCAATTCTATATCCGTAATCATATTTTTGATTCCATCCAGTCGCCGTTTCTCGCTGTTGAACAGTAAAGTAAAGTGTCCAAGAATTTAGCGGTTTGTCGCCATCCGTGTAAGATTGGAGAGCTTTTCAACAGATGGAATGCTTGAATCCGTTTTCTGTTTAGAAGAGGAAGGTAGATTCTTCGTCCAAATAGACCTGTTTGCCTTTACACTATTGCTGGAATTTCTAGAAGACATTTTATGGTGGTATAAAAGTGGTTAAATGACTTTTTTTTCTTTAGATTTGCACTGAAAAGATTTAAAAAATTGAAAAAGGGGGAACTTTTTTCAATTGTTTTTAAATTCGATGTTACTAATTTCATCTGAATGCAATTATTCCTCGAATTTAAGGGGTTTCATTTTTGTAATGTAAAATAATAAAAATAGTAATCACCCTAGACCCATACATTAGAATTAGATACAACCAGTCTAGGTGATCTATGATGTATGTACACCATAACTATCTCTTGAACTAGAAGATATACAGGGTTGATTAAATCACAAGAAAGTTACATATTTTCACACCATTTTGGATTTAGAAAAAAATATAAGAGAAAAATTGCACCGTTCCAGAAATATTCTGAAAATAACAAAAACTTTACTTTTCTTATTTCTTCCATTTCTTTTTTATCATTGAACGTACAGTCATGAAAATTGTAGGTAATTATTTCGTACTACACTGTCAAAGGGTCTCATCTGTAAATAATAGAGATATGAAAAGTGAAACACAATGTATATCTCTAAAACAGACGAAGATATGAAATATGCGATTTAATAGATAAATTTATCTCAAAAATCGAAAGAATGTGTTTCCATCTTTAATATTTTCTGGAACATTTTTAATTACAGTTAAATTTGGGTCGTTCTGTACAACCCGAGGTATAACCAAAACCAAACCATGCACTATTATTATTTTTTAAATAATAATTCAGGTATCCCAGGATAAAAATGTTAAAGTTTGTTTTCGTTATTAAGTTAATATTTGTCATGTGTAAGATAAAGTGGCAATTAGAATTAAAAAAGATAATGAAAGCTTCACATTAGTCACAATATCATTAACAATTAAACGCGACTTACCATCACTGTCAGACTAATAACATTATCCGTATCGTTCCTGACCTCCAATCCCTTGTTATTCGTAATCCTAATTTTTCCAGTACCCGAGTCGATGCTGAACAAATTGTTGTCGTTCCCAGATATTATGGAATACGTAACGTGCGACGTCTTGTCGGCGTCGGTAGCCTCCACGATTAGATCCGGATCGAATCTCACTGTTCCCTCGTTAATAAACGCCCTATATATGGGTTGGCTGAAAACCGGAGGGTTATCATTACTGTCGATTAGGGCCACCTTTAATGGCACCGTCGTGGTCTGACCTTTGCCGTCGTCGTCGGTCGCCTGGAACGAATGTCACTTCTAAGTTCAGAACTAATTTAATTTCATTTTCTTGAAGATATTTACATATATAGTATTACAACCATTCTTCACATCACCAGATTTGATTTTATTTCCTTACCAGGTTCACTTCTAAAGCAGGGTTCCCTATTTATGAAGTATGGAGAAAACGGTTTCAAAATACTTACTAAACAATGACAGCAGCATCTTTGGTATAAAGCCTCATAACCAACGCGTCATCGCGTAGTGACGTCACTACAAAGGTTTAACCGTTCTCTAATTGTAAATGCCAATATTTTTATACACGTACATAATAATGATACGTATTTATTATACAACTTCGCCCCACTATTTTAATAGTAGACAGTGACGTATAATATTAAAATGTTGTTCCAATTTCTGTCACAGAATCCTATTGTTCGCGCAACAAACAATGTATTTTACATAAAACTAAGGCAAAATGCTAAAACATACTTACTATGAACTGAAGCTGGTACTCAGATTTGGTCTCGTAATCCAGACAATCTGGCTTTCCGGGTTGCTCACAAAACGCCACCGTCACCGTACCGGTCCTATTATTCACCGTAAATTTCTCAGCTCCGTTGCCCCCCAGTTTGTAAACTATCCCGTTCTCCCCGAACTTCCCGCTGTCCCTGTCTTTGGCGACGATAGTGGCCACCAGACTTCCCGGATTTGCCATCTCTGATATCACAGCGGAATATCCTTCTTGGTCGAACGTGGGGGCGTTGTCGTTGATGTCGAGCACCGTTACAGTGACAGTGGCTGTCGAGGATAGCTTTTCTTGCGTGTACAACTCTCTAGCCACCGCTAGGATGATGAATTTCCTCTGGTTAGGGTCTTCGTAATCCAGAGAACTGTTCGCCATACGAATGATCACCGCCGTCGAACCTGTTGCCGTTTTCGGCTCGATGGAAAATGCCCCGGAGATGTCGTTTAGTTCCAGAGAAAATGCAGAATTGTTGCCCTAAAAATAAAATTTTATATTTATTTGATTATCGACCTATATTATCTAAAATATTTACAGAAATGAAGTTTACTATTCTTGATGGAAACAGGTAACATAGAGCAAGTTTCAAGATACAAAACATTTTTATTGCATCAATAAATAAGCGTAACATCCACAAAAAACTGCTCTATATTGCTCTGGTAAATCCGCAGTTAAAGATAATTTGTCAGTGGAATAAACAGATACAGACCTGTTTCGAACTTATTAGTTCTCTTCAAGATATCATAGGTGAGACAACTGACGAATAATCTAGTTACATAAGTGCCTATTTACCACATGTTTTGACTGTGGGTGAGAAAAAAATGAAGATTTACAGGGCGAATCAATATTCCCGATAAATCGCTTAAATTGATAAGGAAATGTCAGGAACAACTGAAAGTTCTGTAGACTCTACTAAATTAACTTTGACAAGTGTTCGCCGGGATACTTTGGTGTCAAAAGCCACAGTGCTAGACCAAATAATGAATGACAGTCAACATAAGAGGTACTGGAATAATTTGCCTAGCTACCAACATGACAAAATTCTGTCACTGCAAAATTGCTGTCACTAGCAATGATTTATTACCGAGGTTATTACATTGACAGTACATTACAGTTTGAGAAGATATTTGAATGGAGTTGCGTTGTATGACGGAGATGCATAATGTAGATTGCAATAGTGCAACAGAAACTGCCTGATCTATTACAACCTGTCGAGCGTGAAGTATTAGGCCACAGAAAACAGGTTCTTTATGGACAACCAAAACTGGATAAGATTTATTTTCAATAATTAGCACTAAGAAACCAAACAGTATATCCTGCAAATTTCAACAAAAGAATAAAAGCCAAAAATAACTTAATTTATTTTATATAAGTATTCCAAAACTTTACTATCAATTTTTTGTTCAAAATTATATTTGTACTCTGACATAAATGTAACACGATGTGTCTATCAAAGTATTGACACAAAGTTTTGTGATAAAATTTGAGATTTTTAAAGAATTGCGAAACGGTATAAACTAAAAACTTGAAAGTCGTAGGTGTAGCATTTGGGGCAAAATTTGGTGATATTACCGAAAAAATAAAAAAATTCAATGGTGTCGATATAAAGTAAAATACATGGACAATTAATTAATTATACATTGGGATTTCTGGATTGTACTGTAAAATTTTTCGAAATAACAATATTTTATCTAGAAATAAAACTACTTTTAAATTTTTAGTAGGAGATAAGGTTTTCAAGGTCACAACAGTTCTCGAAAGGTGGTATCTCTGCATTAGTGAAAAAAGTTATTAGTAGGCTTTAAATATTGGATGACAAGTTGATTCAGATGAATGACAGATAACAGGCAAACTAATGTTATAAAGTTTCTGTTCTAAATTCAAGTTGGAATCATTTCCTTCAGCAAATACAAATATAGGCTAAATAATCGAAAGTAGCGTTATCAAAGTTTTTAACCTTGGAAATAAAATTCATAAAAATAGTTTGCCTGTTATTTACTTAAAATATCAACATTACAATTATCTTGCAAAACAATACCTCCTACTGAAAACTTGCACACATGTTTTATTTGTAGACAAGAAACTGTTATTTCAAAAAATTGTATCTGCGTTACAGAGTTAATTTTGTCGACAATATCAAGAATAGACTTGTCGTACCAGGATTCAAACGGTTTCAGAATTGTCAACATATTTGAAATTATATTGTACCTCCATAAATAAGCTCAACTGATCATACGATTATTAAGAAAATGCTCATAACTTTCCATGTTTATTAGCGTAGTATGCTTTGAGACATATAGTTATGGACTAATTTTACTGTAGATACCTACATAAGAAAACAATTTATTCGTAACATGTAACGACTTAAAATATGTTTGTATTTTATTTAAATGTCATTCAAAATTTGGAAAAGAGAAAAAATTGTTGCACGCTGTCATGAAACTTCACACAATTGTTTCTAAAATCGTGATAGGGACAAATTGTAGCAAACTTTTATACATACAATATTGTTTGAAAATTTTGAGAAAATCTACAATTTATTGTTAATAATTTCGTAATTGTAAAAATAACACAGCCACACAAAAAAGTGTTATATGGTTTTGACCAAACTAGTAACCTATATCCTATTTTATTATCTACAAAATGAACCATACTGGATCCTGGCCCGCCATATTGTATCAACCATGTTGAATTTGTAATTCTGAGTTCGTATTCGTGATCAGCAACCTCTAAAACCCCCTAGGATCCAATTCAGGATTAATCTGTTGATTTTTCGAAAATCTCGTCTGCGATATTGGATCCGTCATGTTAAATTTTGCAATTCTGAATGAATTCAAATTCCTGATTAGCGAACCTAAGAACCCCGACATCTTAAATTTTTCAGGATTCTATTCATTTCTTGCAAACCTCAATTTATGGCCGATTTTTTTGAGGTTAGAAAAAAATGAGGTGTGCTGTATGATTTCTAAAGATGGATTTGGAAGATATGCTAAGAAATGTGAAAAATAAAAATTTGTTGCAGTTTTTTCTCATATTTCTTTGTCTATTTTTGCTATTTTCACCTATTTTTTGAATTTAGAATAAAATGTGACGTTTTAGCGAAATTCTGACAGTGGATTCGGATTCAATGCGTCAATATACAATAGGATATTTTACACAATTTCTTCCTGTCACGATTCAAGGAACAACAGTGTGATTTTTCATGACAATGTTTTTCCCGTGTGGGTACCCAGTTGTATTCTTTCAGAAAGTCTTCCAATTTTACTGTTGCAGATGAAATAATTTTGGCGCTAATGGTTTACAGTACAATTTTTTAAACATCCTGTGTAAATCAGGTACTAATACATTTAGAAAAAATATGTTCCTCACCTCGTCGGGATCCTTGACGGACATCTCCAGTCCTGGCAGAGGTGCACCTGCCTGTATGTTTTCGGGTATCTGGACGAAATACTCCCTCTTGTTGAAGGAAGGCGGTTCGTCGTTCACGTCTCTAATTTTCACCGTCGCCTCTGCGTTGGTAACGGTCAATGGATCGTTTCCTTTCACCCCGTCTATTAATTCGTGGGCCTACCAAATAAATGCCTTATATTACCTTAACGGATGCATTTAATGGGTGTCCGGCATCAATTTCCGGCCATTAGGAACATTATTGCCAAACGGGGGTTGTTATAAGGCTCAGGCATATCTCACTATGTTTTATCGGGTAGTAATTAAAAGATATTGGGTAATAAAAGAAATGTTAAAATGCCGTAAACTAAACAACGTGTGTAGGGTAACTATGTGATGAAGATTTAATTGCTCTTTTAACCAAAGCATATATAATACTTTTTAATGTCCTTTTTATTGGCTGAACAAGAAAACTTTTTATATTTACTGAGTGATTATCATCAAAATAAAAAATAAAACATCGAGAGCATAATTTTTCCGAAAACATTTCCTAAGGGTTAAAGGATTTTCAAAATTCGGGAACAATTTTTCATAAATTACACATTCAAAACTATTGTACAGACGATGTGGAATGCCCAAAAACTGAGATAATCCGAAAGAAAAGTAATTTCGAAATTATCCATAATAAGCAAGGTTGTCAGAGAGAGCCGCAATTCAATTCAATGGCGTGCAAAGCAGGTCAACCGCACATGCGTGAGCCGCTGCCTCGGAATGCTTTTCACGTTCACGTTACCTTAGTATAGTGTTGCTTTGTTATCGTGCGGATATTGCGTAATTAATTCCTATCCGTTGGTGTTTATGGTGGTGTATTATTGTAGACAATTTAATTTGTTGCTTTTTAATAAATAATGTGAACGTCTATGCTGTCCTACTTCGGAAAAAAACCGTATATGCAGTTTTGTGACAAACTGAGATAATTACATTTTCGAAATGTACATCGCATTATACCCATCTATAAATATGAAATATATCGTTTTAGTTTCTTTAAATTTAAAAAATGTGTACGTTTTAAATTTCTAGTATTGAGTCACTCTTATTTCCTTCGTGGCTATACTAGAAAAAAATGCCGTATGTGTCTGATACAGACTTATGTATTTCATTAACAGGTACGTAGTGTAAACGCCGCATGTGATCACATACGGCTTTCTGCTCTAGCAGAAGCATTGAAATACGATGTTTTTAACAAATTAAATTCACATACGTTGTTTTAAATTAAACAACAATTAAACATTATTTGCAACAAAATATATTAAAAATTGTAAAATATCCTGTAAAAACATCTAAAAATCATGTTTACGATGTACATGTTCTGTTTCTTCTATTAATTTCTGTTGAAAATGCACATACGGCATTTTTACCTAGCAAAATCTTAAATTTATTAAGACAAAACAACATATGTGACGCTGTTTTTATTGAAATCAAGTTATTACCTTAATTAGTAAATGAATTACAGCCAAATGTATGCCTAACATCTCGTTGCAATGTTCTCTAAATTGTAATATTATGAGCTCATACGGTCTTCTTCCGAAGTAGGCAGTATGTCCCGCAGCCCTAATAATAAGTAGGTAATTCTTTTTTACTCCTATTGACAGAGTATGTAACAGGCTTCAAAATTGTATATCTACTATACATAAACTTCTGAAATAGACATACTTTTGAGGTGTTCAAAAAATTTGCGAATTTTTATCTATTTTTTAAAAAGCGTATATGTTTTTTTTGTTGAAAACACTAGTTTTAACTTTTCTTCTTAAAATGATCCATCAATCACATCCTGAAATATTTTTACTATACCTGAGTTGTACTTTGTCTTACAAATTTGCAGTTTTCAACAGAATTTTATAAGCTCAGACAACTAGTATTAGGAAAAGTACCTACTAGCCCGAAACTTTTCTCAATAATGAATTACAAACATTATTTCAAATTACATTTCTGAACAATCTCAGAATCTAAGGAATCCTTTTAGTTTTAAAAATGTTGATCTGGTTGAATTATATCCGGGCGAGTGCCACGTCAAGAAGTGTTTTGACGTTTCTAGAGACATATCGCTTCCTTCTATCTTCCTTGAGATTAAAATTGGGTTTTCTTAAGAGAAAACGGCGTATCATATCAGTATATCCTTTGTATAGGGCAGATAGATGGTCTGTTATTCTTTCTTTACCTCGTTCTGAGGTATTCTTCTGATGCATATTCAATATTTTTGTAAGTGTATCCATTTTCTTTGAGATCTGTTCATAGGTCAAAGGAAAGGTACAAAAAGTACCTACATTTTTCTTTCAACTCCATGGTGAAGCCAATGTTGCAATATTTCTTTAGAAAAAAGGGTCTTGTCTCTGGAAACGTCAAGAACGATTGTCACCGAAGCTAACTGTTGGTTTTGTTTATTTTGTTTATTTCGACGATGTATAAGATAGGCGTATTCGTGGAGTTCTACTAAATGTTTTTAATCTTGTTTGAAATCAATGTAGAAGCAGAAGCTATTAAAGATTAGAATTTGCCGAACAGAACTGAGAATCGCTTAATGGTATAGCAAATAAAGAGAGGTTTATCCATTAGAACGTTTTTATCGAGATGGCTTTGGTTACACAACATCGCTTCAGAATTGTCTCACAGATGTGAGGGGTGAAATCTGGAGAGAAGCGGTTTAAATAGTACTAAAAGCAATTACTAGGCCTTGGGAAATACATTCCTGGGCAACAATTTAATTTATTCAATTATAATGTCATTAATTTTAAGGGAAGATAGGGAAAAACGAGTAGAATACGAATACGCGATCAAGAAACTTAAAAATGCATAGGTATTTACACTGAAAAAAAGTTTTTTTAAATCATTATTTAAACCCTTATTTGGACCAGTCCTAACCGCTGGCGGCATGGCATTCACGGCTCCCAAGTCAACTCAATGTCGGTTTGAAGCAACGTTGCCAAATTTAAATATTTTCCTACACTCTTAAAATTTGGGGTAAATCCAATACATTTATGAATTTACACTATAGTATTACATAATAAGTAAAGTAAAATTAAAAATTCTTCGTAATAATAAAAATATTTATATTTTACTAAGAAAGTTATGTGTTTTTACTTTATAATCTCAATTTCGGTAAATTTACACCGTGCTATTACCACAGTTAAAAAATTTACAATAAAAATGTATATTTCATTTGGTTATGTGATTTTACATTAAAGGGTAAGTATATTTACAGAAGATTTAATGTAGAAACAGCGCGTCTAGACTAGCAATGATGCAATTGGTCAGACAGACCACGCTGTGGAGTTATAATACTGAGCTGTGCGTATATTGTGCGTTATACTTATAATTAGTGATCTTTCTTAAAAAAAAGATAAAGGTGAGATATTTAAACTAATTTATAATTTTAATAAATATGTGTGGAAGTAGTTTACTATGTCATAACATTATTATTAGGTATAAATATTAATAATATGATGAGAAATAACCACTCTGCCTCGACCAGCATTGAATTACTTCCACAATATTTTACTCACATCTATTTCATTATTAGTTTTTTCTTCATTCTAAGGGTATTAAGCTAATTCTAATCAATTCATATAGTATGAAATAGTTCTTTGATAATAACTGATAATAAGCTGGATGCTGGATATGGTAAAGAAATAATTCCACAGACAAGGATGGAATCAGAAGCTATCTAAAATAACAATAATCTACGCAAATACACATGCCTGATATAATGAAATTATTAAATAACTTTCCTAATTACAAAATTTACTCTTCAACATTAGTACATAATTGTAGGATTATAGTGTAATACCTTTACAATAAAATAAATAGTTTATTTTGTAGTTTAGACTAGGAGTTATGAAACTATGTTTTATTCGTGTTTATTTTATACGAAAAAAGTTCTTTTCCTCGAAAAGATATGGATTACTGTAGGCAACTTTTAATTAAAAAAGCAATGTCTTAATTGTTAACAATTAACGATTTTATTGACTTGATAATGTGTACCAAAAAGTGGCTAGTTAAAATTTAACAATATTAAGAATTCTTAACCATTGATTTGATACTCATATACAGGGTCATTCATTGAGAATGGGCAATCTCTAAACTGGACCAACAACAAAGTTGGAATTTTAATTTCAAATTTCTCAATAATTTTGAAATTTTCAGCAGAATCAACTCGAAAATTGGTGATTTTATGTTTTTTGGCACGAGAATTACGAATTTGATGCTGAATTTGCCGCTATCTGTACAGGGTATTACTCTCTGTTACTTCAGTAAATCAGAACACATTTTGGTGTGTAGTAACTCCTGTTTAGAGATTGCCCATTCTTAATGATATACTTATTCTTAATATTTAAACTAACTTAATAACTTTTTTAAGAGGTCCAATTCTAATATGTTTGGGTTAGCTCGGCCGACTAGGAGGTTACATTACATTATATTTTTTGCTTTTTGATTAAATTTAATTTCGGATAACAGATAGTCAAAGTTGTCCACAATAAACATTATTTCAACAAAAACTTTCAGAACTATATTATTTAAACTTTACTTTACTTTACTTAAATCCAGCGCTATGGAGTTAAATAGCATATCCTACTGGAATTAAATAAATTTATACCTATTAACGAAGTTTAAATTTGAAGTTAACAATAAGTACTTTATTATTTAGTATTTATGTACAATAGCATTGCTGTTAGTGACATTTTATGTGAAATGTGTGTATTAAAACTTATTAACTGTTAATTAATAACAAAAGTTTAGCCAGCGCACAGCTCACTTTTGAATTTTTCTGCACAAAATACATTGATGGGAATTGATTTAAGTTAGTTTGACACCTTTACGAAAAATTAAAAAAAAGGTATGTATTATAATTTTGTAGTATGAAATTTAAATGTTACATTATACACTGCATTTCTACATATAGGTGTAAAAATATCTCTAAGGCCCGATACTTTGAGTCTCCGTTAAGGTTTGATTAACTAATCAAGCGATTAGATTCGTGCCGTAATTTTACGTTTCTCAAGGTTTACATTTTTTGCAGTGTAGTATCAGACATAAATAAACTGTTCTATTTACTATTTTAGAAACTTATGTTCTTAAAATTTTAAAATATATAATGAATGATATAAATTATTTTTTTAAAAGTA